CTGTAAATGTATCTAGCACAAAGAGAAGGTGTTGTATCTGTTGTATTCTGGTCCCATTCCTGTGGATTCCTGAGGAATCCTGAGGAATCCTGAGGACTCCTGAGGAATCCTGTCCCATTCCTGAGGATTCCTGAGGATTCCTGTGGATTCCTGTGGATTCCTGCAGGAATGGGTGGGGCACTGTAAAGTACTGGGCTGGGCCTCCAGTTGCTACACTGGCAGAAGAAGCAACAGAGGGTGAATGGGAAACTGAGATGGCGGGAGACCAAGTAGGAACTGAGACAGAGTGTGAGGCAGATACAGAACGAGATGCAGATGCAGAACGGGAACCAGAAAGAGATCGGGAGTGAAAATATGGAGGAATAGCAGATGCTACAAGAGGTGAAGGAGGAGGAACATCAGCAGGATCATTTTCCTGAAGTGATGTCAATATTACTCTAAATATAGAATTACTTGAACTTACAACAAGAATCTTCATCAACATCTCATTTTCTTCTTGTTTCCAGTAGCTATCAGTATTGTCTTCAACTGCCGATAACGACCAAGCATAATCCATTCCTGCTTGTCAAAAACATAGAGTCGTTTATTTTGCTCTAGATTCAATGACTTAATAGATAGTTAGCTAAGAGCAAATGTAAATCTTACTTTCGACTGGTGAATATGAATGACTCATGTGCTTCAAAAGAAGTCCCATTGTAGGGTAGCAAGGAGTTGGAATTTTGATGACTGAATCTGTTTCACCAATGGTCAGACTGCGAGGTGGTCGATCAACAATAGACAGGACAATGCGGCCATCAGGTATGATAGAATCTGCCTCAGGAGCAGAGGCCAGAGTATCTCCTGAGTCATGAATGTCATCTATCAATTTCGAAGTCAAAATTAAAATATTTACCAAAGTTGTAAATATTGCCTGCAGCTTGACCTCTAATAATCCCACCATAGGAGTGGGATGACCCTTCAGGAGGAGGAGGAGATAAGTGTGCCAGATTGAGGTCTTTATTGTCCTCCACTGATTCCTGCCGGAATCCGGGCCATTCCTGGAATTCCGGAGGAATCAAATTGGGCAGAGGGCCCTGCCAAATTGATCAAACCATTGATATGCCTGCAACGCAGTAGATGTGTATGGAAAATACAAAACACACCAAATACAAAACCTTCGGAAATGGTTAGCGTTGCTTCGAGTGGCTCTGAAAGACACGAGACGGAGTTCTCTGGGCTTCTCAAAACAGGAAAGGTGATGTAGACACAACTCCTAATGTGTGGGAGTGCGTCCGAAGGTGTGTGGGGAGTATGAGGATGTTAGGGACAATGTGAGTGGAGGGAATAATCGGAAAACGAATAATGCGAAGGTTGACAAGTGCACACAGTGTGCAGGACGATGGCAACAAGTATAACGAAGTGCTGAAACGATTATCAGCTGGAACGAGATGCGAATCGAGGGGTGAAGTACAACTTGTTATTTCGAAGTACTATGATACTACAAATACATGAATGTACAAATATTCGAAAATATTCAAAAAAAGGAAATGTGAAAGATAGAAACAAAGATAAGAAGTTCTGAAACATGAAACATGAAGATAGTAAGAGCAAAATCAGAGAAATGCGAAAGAAGTAAAAAAATGAATATAAAATAAAAGAAGAATAAGTAAGGGGTGGAAAGGCACCAATATATTCGGAAAATGGAAGCAAAGACTGGCTGTGCATGGCGATTGATCCTAGGTTAAAGCTAAACTCCAAATGTGCAAACAATAAGACCGGATTGATGGGAATGGATAAATGCCGGAGTATGTGCCTGTGTGCATTCTTTCGCAATACAACTATTCGGGCATGTGTGAAGATACATCTGAAGTGGCGAGAAAGCGAAAGGGTAATTGTTGATGAGTCTGTGAATGTCTTGTGAACATGTGTGTGGAGATGTTGTCGAAATCCTCGCAAAGCTGTTGAATATTCGGAAGTTCGGATTTAAAGCGTGTACACATGATAGAATATTCGGGGTGTGTGTGGAAACGCGCGAATGGAACATCCTAAAGTTGGTGAAGACGTCTGAACGTGTTGTTGAATCGAATATAGGCAGGAGGGGACGCGTGTGGAGTAAGATTCGCAAAGTTGGTAGAATATTCGGAAATTCGGGTTCACATGCCTAGGATAAGCGCGCGCTCATCACCATTCTGGCGGAATTTTGATGGAATTCAAATTCCGTCAGATTGGTTCCAGGAATCACCCAGAAGGAATGGTGCTGGAACGACACAGAACGGAATTCCTGACGCCCAAATCGAGTGCCGGCGTTTGCCGACGCTCAATTTGGGCGTCATCAACAAACAACCACTGCTCTCTCTCAACCACCACCATCGTCCACGACGCCCACCCACCTTGCGACACCACGTCACCAACGGCCACCACCACACACACCAGCCACCCATCCACAATGAGCGCGCCACACCCCAACCTCAGCAAGGACGATGCCTCAACGCCACGTCACCAGTAAACGAACGCCCACGACAACACGTTGTGACGTGATGACGAGAACAACGACCGAACAACGACATCGGTCATCGTTCCACCACACTACAATACACCACCACGGCCACGACGCGGGAAACAACGCCATCACCAGCCCCAGCTGGTAAACAAGCGGGGCAACAATGTTGCGACGTGATGACGAGAACAACGACCGAACAACGACATCGGTCATCGTTCCACCACACTACAATACACCACCACGGCCACGACGCGGGAAACAACACCATCACCAGCCCCAGCTGGTAAACAAGCGGGGCAACACGTTGCCACGTCGCTATCAGCGACGTGGCAACGAGACGACGAACGACGACTTGTCATTCGTCGTCATAGGTGAGCACCCCCTGTCCCAAGCTCGTCGCAACCCAGCTCGCTAAAACCAGGCACACGACGAGGGACAATGGACGAGCGCACAACCATGTCAACGCAAGACCACGTCAACACACGACGACACAACCATGCCCACGGACGACAACACGCCCCGCCACGTCAATGGAGGGCCACGCCGACAGATGACACGCCCACGACGACACGCACCACTACGTCAACGGACCACCACCACGTCAACGGATGATGACGACATCCCACTTCCCCGTCCCTCCCTCTTCCTTTCCCTGCTCCCCTTGGTTTTCCC